GTAAAACAGCAATGTTGAAAGTGAATAGACAGTGACTTTGGGAGTGCAGAAAAGTGAGCTTTGTGGGATGGTGTACCACAGACTCTTGCGCTAAGTTTTGCCAGGTCCATGTGGTTGTGACAGCCTTTGGTGGGATATGACAGCAGCTGGTGCTTCCTCCTCATGGCCAGGGGCTCCCCTTTAGCTGGCTGGGATGCTTTCAGAGTGCACAACTGCTGCTGGAACATTGCACTCTAAACACTGTAACTGCTGGGGACAGAGCCATGTTTCATTGTGAGGCCCAGGGCTTGTGGTTCAAGAGCAGAAACGGTGCCATGTGGCTCAGCTGGACCACTTCACCGGGCAGCGCTGCTGCTGGACTATGCAGGGAGCTCTTCATGATATGAAACTTTCCTGCAGCTTTGCAAAAGCCTTCTTTAATAATTGCCAAGAATGGATGTAGGTAGGAAGCTGCAGTTTACTTGTGCCCATGAAGTAGGCACAAACCATCCAATGTTCTCAGATGAGGCGGGATCATTTTACTGATAATATTTTTAATTTGCTTGCCGGGGCTGGAGCCTGGGCATTGCCATGGGAAGCAGTTCATGTGGGCTTAGCAATACTTAGAGAATTACAGTCTACCTGCAGCTTGAGGTCTGTCTGTTCCTGTTCCTGTGCTTACCGTTTCTTGTTAACTGGCTCAAGACAGCTTTCTGAATCATTGTTTGGAGGTGTTTCAGCTCTCTTCCCAGGTTATACCACATTTTTATCAGTTAGCTTTAAAAACCCCAACAAACTAACAGCACATGCAGTGAAGGATCCCTGGATGGGTAATACCAACCTGGCTTTGAACACCGCCAGGGGTGGAGCATTCACAATTTCCAGAAGTTTACCATCAGTTCACTTTTCCTCAGTAGCCATTTTTCCATTACCCCTTCCTTCTTTCCTGCTAGCTAATGGCCTACATTATTTCCTGAGTCATTTCACAACACTAAGATTAGGAAAAGCAAATAGAGTATTTAATAAGAAGCCATTTCAAAATTGCATAACTTTGTGAACTGAATTGTACTCAGGAACCTTACTCTCAATAGATAGTTGGAAGGAAAACTTAAACTAGTCCCACTGTCAGGATGACTTTTTAGTATTGGGAGGGGTTTGAATTTAGAATATCTTCAGATCTGGCAGTGTATTTAAAAATATCAGTAATCTCTTAGTTTTAGCACTAGATGAGCTTGAGGTCCATCTGCATGTTTAATACCATTTCGTTATCTGTTTGTAAAATGCTTTGTATTCACAAAGCTAAATGTAAATGAACATTATTACTAAAATGTTGCATGCAGCAACAGTGTCAGAATGATTTATCTTTAGTAAAGAAATAAAAATAAATTCTAGATATTTCATCCTTTTATATTTATGACCCAATAAATTTTCTTTTAAAGCATATAGTACAATTTTTGAAGTGCCAAAAGGCACTTACACCATACTCTGATATTTCATTTTCATGCATCTGTGAAGCTAAAACTGTAAGGTCTGACTTTTGGGAAACACATAGTTCTGCATGATCTCTGTTTTTATGAAACTGAAATGCAAAGCAGAAAAAAGAACTAAGTATCCTGAATAGGAATTATTGGGATTTGGCCTTGGTAAATGTGTACTCCACATGGCTGGAAGCAGCAGCTACCTTTTGGTTACTGTGTACTTCATTCTGGCCAATAAATACAGAGCTAATATTCCGACATTTCAGCAACTTTCATTCTATGATTCTATGTGACCAGCAAACAAAGTTTGCTTCAGATCACTTGACCAACAAATATTGGTAAAGTAGCCATGGTATATGTGAACAGAAAATAAAAGCATATGCAATTCTTTCTGTGTATTGTCCTCAGCACTGAAGGTATTGTAATTCCTACAGGTACAATCACAGTATAATTCTGAAATACATACATGTTAAATGTATCATTTTTCTCTGAGCAAATTTCATCCTCTTAGTGCAGTTTCAATCACAGACAGTGGAAGCCATTTAGTGCAATGAATATTCTCTGCTGTTTCTGTCAAAGATTAAAAATATACTTGTGATGTGTTAGGTTGAAGCATTAACATTTTTTGTGACATAGAGCTCCCATGGTAGTGTTGAGCATCCCTGTATATCAGCAGGTTATTTTACTGATGTAACTCTGTAACTACTACTCATTGGTCTGAGTGCAGCAGCTTCAGTAGGTGTGGCCCAGGGATGTGGTTTGATAAATTTAACATAGAATTCACTTGTGTATCGGTGTAGTTAAAGTACACTAAAGAAGTTTATAAACTGGACAAAGGTGTTGGCTATAGGCTTAGGGACACATAATGCCATTGTTTAAAATCTAGAATAAATTTTGAGAAATGGTCTCAGGAATGACTTGGTTCACAGTTATATGAGGTTGCTAGCTACATTTATTTCTGAAGCAAATGTTTTGCCTTAAAGGGATATGAAGGTGGAAAAGACAGCAGTTGGTTGAGGGAACTAAGTAAAATGCTGAAGAAAGCCAGAAGCAGGATTTCCATTGACTTGAGCAGAATTAGTGCCAAGATCTATACTGTTTGCATCGTGGTGGCATGCTTGTTTAGAGTTTCCTTAAGCAAAATGTCTCAAGTTTTGACCCTGATCCATTTCCTGACCCTTACGCTTGCAGCTGACTTGTTGAGAGGTTTAGTGAATGGAGAAAACCTAACCTTTCCTATTGCTGTATCTATTTGCAGGACCAGGCTGTTTATCTGAAGCAATAGTTTATGCAATTTTGGTTTATCCAGATAACTCCTGGCTGTATCACATATTGTGATAAGTACCACATTACTGAAAAACAGAAAGGAACTGGAGAAATTTCAGGAACCATAGGAAGGAAAATCAAGGACAGGCCAACATGTCTGACAAATATCATATGCCATGAATAAGGTGCTGGAGCAATGATTAAATGCAATCAGGCATTATGATAGCCAAGAAATATTTGGGACGCGTGAAAAGGAAGCAAAGGAATTGAATGTGGCACCTTCTATATACTAAGTTGTATATTTAGAAATACAAAAGAAAGCTTTACCTGACTGCAAGGGAAACCTGATAACGGCATGTGGAATGTGGCTCTTAGGGAGCCTGGAAATTGAAGAACTGCAGCAGATAAAATGTTAGTAGCAGATAAACAATACTGTCAAGAACAAGTTCTCATATTCAGAAAAATGGCTGAGATTATCTGGTGGGTCTTTACCTTATCCATCTCCTGTGCTGCTTCAGTTAGTTAAACCCCTTCCAGCTTCCACACCCCACCAGCTGCATTGAGGCCCTTGGGGTATGTAAGACAGGTAATACTGGGCTGCATGTTCTTGACTGGTTTACATTCCTTAGGACATGGTTCCACATTTGATGGTCTCATGTGGAAGAGAAGCTTTAGAATACTAATGCCTAATGTAAATAATTCTTTTTTGTAAATGTTTGGAAAGCGTACACTTTGAATATAGGCAATTAGTTCTCTTGGAGTGTATTTATATTTGCTTACAAATAGCAAAGTGTCAATGAAAAGCTCTAGCAGTAAAACGCTTATCAACTTGTAATTACAGTTGAAGAAGCTTGTATGAATTCAGATAAAAAATAGAGGTAATTACTTTAAAAATGTTTAGAGTTAGGCTTCTGCAGCACTAGTTCATTGCTTTGGAAGAACAGCAGATTTAACAGTCAGAAAACTATGCCTAATAAAACTGTGCTCTAATATGTACTTGGGACCTAATTTTGAGTGATCTTTTTAATTCCAGTTGAAAAAACTTTTAAAATTAACAATATGGCTTAGATACACTTACCTATTTTCTTATCTTTCTCCTGATTATTGATATTGTAGGATTTTTATCTAAGTGTGCAGTTATTTCTTTTTTATGATTATTTTTTAATGGATCAGGTTATTTCTAGAGGTTTGGACAAACCACAGTACAGGGTCTAGAGCCACTTATTTTCTGCATAAGCCAAACCAGGAAAGTGACATAAAAGTTTGGATGCTGATCACATTTTACAAGTATTCAGCTCTAGCAAGCATGATGTATCTATTTTCAAAAGTAAAAAATATCCCAAGTTCCATAGTTGACTAGTAAAAGCAGAAATTAAAAGGTAATTAAGATTAATGGAAAACCCCATAAGCTTTATAGAAAATAATTAAGGGATTATTAGGTAATGAAGACTTTTCCAGGATTTGGAAGACATAAGAGACACTTCTGATTCATGAGTTCAAGAAATTCTATAGAAATTTACCCAAATACTACCTAATTCTGTAAGTTGAATTTGCAATTTTTTATTGTATTAAGGAGAGTCTTCTTCAGCAAGTGGCTTATTAAATTCTGAGTTTAAATTCTAAACTTAAATTTCTTTAAATTCTGAATTCTTGCACTTTCCCAGCAAGAACGAGTTTACTGTCAGGACAGCAGAATCAGGCCCTGCAGTCTGTGCCTGTAGAGCTCAGCTAGATTGTCTCATTGCATTTTATAAGATTTGTTCATTAAGGTTTAATAGTTATTGAAGACCTTATTGGTTTGAGTACTAATAACAACATTGGAATACAATCAGAAGAGACAGGATTCACTTTAGATTCTCTTTTTCTAGGGTATCATGCTTGCTGGAATTGTTTAAAATTACTTTTTCACATGCTTTATACTTATTATTTCAACAATATATTATTGAAACGATGCATTCAATCCCAATATTACCAAAATGCCACCATAATTATAGCATATACAGAAGTAAATTTCAAATCTGAAGAGTTTCATTCTTATGACAAATATATTGAGAGTTTTGCATATTATAGTCAAGCCACACATGTAAAATAACCTTACTAAATTAAAGAGCAATTACTTGGTTTATCATTGTTTGCCTTAAAAATATCACCATCTTGAAAAAAGGAAAAAGAACATGTGGGGCAGGACTTTACACACTGACTTTTTGGAGGACTGTTGTTATGAATATTACCTAAGCTCAATGGATAATCAATTAGATCTGTGCTTTTTTTTTACAGCTCTTTCCAAACACTTTTTTCTCCGAGCCCCGCCATTCTACTCAGCATGCTGTGGTGGGTCCTGTCAGCACCCTGCATCCCCCACTGCTTTTCCAAGTAAGTTTTTATGCTTCATCAGTAATGCTTGAGTTATTCTGTAAACCAAAGCAGCAGGATTTAATGTGTTCTGGAAAACTAATTGGTGATGCAATGGCAGCAGCTAATTCCTTAGTAAAATCACAGCAATCCTATTCAGAGGGTTTCCAAAGATTTATCAAACTTAAGTACACTGAGCAATTGTCAGAGGCTTCTAATGGCATTGAGACACCCAGACAGAGCTAACCTAGGAAAGCTGCTTGTTTTCAGCTTGCCAGAAAAGACTCTTTAAAATCAGTAACTCTTTTAAAAATCTCTGTCAATAAACATTTGCAAATAAGAAAAGAGCTGAATGATCTTAAAGTGGATGCTGCATTATAATGTCTGTTAGGGATAAATTGTGAGTCAGGGAGCCCTAGCATTATTTAAGTAAAACAGACGTTCTTTTTGTAGCAATCAAATGCATGCACATGCTTAATTTGTTTTTCCTTTTTTATTCTAATGTAAAAAAATTGAAGAAAGTGAAGAGAATTTTGGCTGGTATAAGTTATACATTCAGGATTAAGACCTGGAAAACACTTCCATTTAATCCAAATCTAAATTTAACCTTGATTGGGAAGTTTGTGTGCCATAGCGTAAGAATGGATATTCATGATTTTACCATTTATGGCTCAGGAATACAAACAGAAGGAAGTATTACCTCATCCTTCAGAACAGAGAGAAAGCACAAATCGCATGTCAAATCCAAATGAAAATTGGAGCTTATGCGTGTTCTAGTGTATACTTTTTTTATCAGAGTCACATTCAAACCCTTCCTGACTATGTGCATGTGTTTTATGAATGTTTCAGGAGGGCAGTTGCTAAGTTGAATGATTCTTGACAAGTGAGGCAGCAAATGCTGGCAGTTTAATGAGCTGCAAGTTTCTGAGCACCTCTTTAGGGGGCTGACACTTTCCCACAGAGCGTTTTACATGGCCCCAGCTCTCCCACAATGGCTGACAGCACCATGACCAATCACCACTTTCACTTTACTCATCCACACGCGACCTCACCACAATTTTTCACTGTGCAGATGAACTTTAGGAACCATCTCACATTGAAAAGGCTTGGGCAAGGGTCAGTTGCCCTTTTGTATGGCCATAAAGCAATACTCTATGCGCCAGTCTTTTCTCCTGTCTCACATTCCAAGAGATTTTCTGGACACCATTTAAAGCACTTGACTGAAAAATAAAGCAGTGAATGAAACTGACTTTTATAGACTCATTCTAGCTCATCTTCCCATATAACCCTGTCTACCTGAAAAGGGATTTAGTGGATGAGCTGAGTGTATACAGGGACTTGCTGAATACATAGGCCCATTATCAACTGTGGGGATTGTTTATTAACCAGGACTGATACACTACTATTTTGGAAGTGACCTATTAATTGTCCATTTAACTAGAATGTATTGAATTCAAATGAAAAAATGGAAACCATGACTAAAGGTTTTACTTGCTCCTTCAAGGTGGTCTCTGCCATGAAGGCAAATGAAGATTGTTCCACACATTAAGAGGACATTTATCACTATATATTAGGATACAAAGGAAAGGCTTAAAAAAACCAAACCCTGAAGCAAAACAAAAATCAAACGGGCAACATAGGAATTAGTTGGTAACAGATTCACACTGATGTCAGCAGAACACAAAATCTTTTGATGCACATTCAGAGCAACAGGCTGCAAACTGACTTACTTCATTTTGATGGAATTGTTGAAATGTAGGAATGACTGCCTATCCCACTGTACTGAAAAATCCTTTAATCCGCAAATTGAAATTTAGTTTTTGTGTGAGGAGTTGGAATTCATGTTGGAAAATGGGGTATTCTTAAAAAAAATCTCCAGGCTGGTCAATTGAGATAAGTATTCATTATCACAAACACCAGTTTTAAGTTTTTCGACCCGGTGGCTGGTTGCTAATGCTTGTAAGCATTCTATTTATCATTAAGTTTTGTTTAGTTAATCTTTTAAAATCAGTCACATAATGTGCCTCAGAGTGTGTAGTTTCTTCACTGCTAAGTTAGTCTAATACAGGTGTTAAGCTGTACCCTACATACTGCCTGTACAGGAATTAATTGGTGCCTCTGGGCTCCAGCAGGAGGTTGTTTCTTTGCTGATTGACTGTTAACAACCAGCCAGGCAAGACAAATTTTAAGGGGTCACATAATCTGGCATCCTCTGTCCTTGGCTGACAACTCCATTGTGGAATGGAAGCCAGGAGGCAAGGACCAGTCCTGTTTCACTTTTTCCCTTGCTGGTGTCTCTCATCCCATGAGAGAGAAGGTACCAGCTTTTTTCTGCTGTCAGACTGTACCTTCCAGTAAACTTGAGAATGGCTGATGATTCACCAGAAGCTACTCAGAGACTACGTGGAAAAGGTACCTAAGTCACCAAGTTCAAGGAGGAAGAACAGAAAACATGCTTGAGGAAGAAGCGCCAGTGTTCACCCCCATTCTCATGGTCAGGAGGGGCGTTTAGGGTGGTGGTCATGAGAGGGCTGTTCACTCCTCAGAGAAATACGAACCTGGCTTGCCCTTTGCAGAGACCTCCAGTGTGGCATTTTGACTTCTGTTCTACAGATAGTTTATTCTGGTTTGGATGAAGTCTGACTGTGTCTTACTGTGTAATAAATATCAGGACAGAAATGAGAAGGTTATGGTTTTTGTATCTGGTCTCAGATATAATTTTTAAAATTGAAATACATGTGTATAAGATTTTGACTTATTTACACTGTAACATTTTAAATCATAATAATTACTTCCTGCCACAGGTTGTTATGAGGGATGAATATAAAGATGGGTTCTTAAAGTGTAGAAAAATTCAAGAAAGGCATGTCTAGCAGAATGCAATGATCCCTAAGTCAGTGGCAGCGTATTTTAGGGAAGGATCATTGCAGACTTGCTCAGCTTTTGAGATTCTTCCTCCACTGGTCACAGCTGGAAACAGGATACAGGGGTAATGTATGTAATATCAACCAGTCGCACATGCACCACAAGAGTATGTAGTCAACTTTGCAAGACATACACGTCTACACTTCAGTTTCTCATCATTATACGTACACAGTTCTGCAACATCCTTAGTATATGTGTGTTTGTTTCTCTGTGGGTGTTTAAAGATACACATACCCATGTGTAGATATGTATACGTTACAGATACTGAGATGTAGTGCAGCCCCAAGGAACAGTTAGTGGAAGCTGCACCTGGATTTAATTAGTATTTTTAAGAGCACTATATGTATTGAACAAATATATTTAATCTACCCCCACCACTACAGCTCACTAGAATAGATAGACTTTTGCACAAAAAAATGTACAGTCTTTTAGGGAATCTGCTTTGTACATGGAATTTGCCATTAGCTTCAATATGAAAAGGATAAGATCCTTGATGGAAATTGAACAGCAGCACATCTTTGCAGCTGCTGTAACTCTAAATTGGGGTGGCAATCTTGGCCTATGTATGCGGAAAGGTCGACAATAGGACAGCTTGCACCTTTACAGCCTGAACTGCATTTGATACAAACTAAAGCCACCTTCGTGGCTGCCCTCCTACAGAAAGGCCGTAGGTGTCAGTGGCTGTATAGCCATGGCACAGGCTTTGGAGTCAAAGAGCAGTTCTTTCCTGGCCTGCTTGCAACTGCCCTGTGCAATCATCACGTCCAATGCTTGGTGACAGGCCCTTTTCAACTGACCTCTGGTACTGCCCCCTGAGTGAGCAGCTGGGGAAGCTGGGTGTGCTGGAGGCATACCAAGCCTCACCCTGGACTGCTCCCCACACCACATCCTTCTATGGAGAGGGAGCATGGGAAAGCACAATGGCTTTAGCCTTCATTGGGTGTGATGAAGGCGAGAGATTTATCTGGATTTGGGTTTTCTGTGCTCTTTGTGAGGCCAATGAAGGGCCAGTGCAAACACTTCCCTAGTGCAGCGCTGTCCCTCCACTTTGAGGCTGTTTTCCAGGCTAAGGTTCCTTTTAGGCATGGATCAAGGGGACGTAATTGGATTCATTGAAAAATGCACCCCCTGCCCAGGACTTGCTATGAGATGTCAAAGGATTAGATACAAAGCTGAATGGAGTAAGTCCAAGTGCTCCTCAAATCCTCTAATAAAGAAATTGCTGCAGTTTCCAGAATAACTAAGTGAATGGCCAGGGATTTTCTGAGGAACAGTGCACTCTGAAAGTCTGTTGTTAGCAAACAAAAGTAAAGAAAGCCTATTTAGTTTCTTTGAATCAGTATTACAGACCACTTTTACCTGGTTCTGCATTTCACACAAGGAGAAAATAAACTTATAGGAAAACTCGCTCGGTGATGACAACAGGCAAGGAAAGTGGAGTTTCTCCCTCACTGTGTTTGAATTTTGAAGTAGCATGGGCCATGTGTTAATGTTTCTCTATGAACTCATCTGATTTACTTTTTAATATGTCAAGGGGAGACTCTTGACCACTGACAACACTTCTAAATCCAACTGAGGATTTAGTTCTTAATGAACATGACTGAGGCATTACGACACACTTATAACACCAACAAATCAAAAGGGGATAGTAGTGTGCTAGCAGTATAATAAACAGTACTTAATATTTCTCTGATATGGGTTAGGTATTATGTGAAACTCTTATCCATTTCCATTAGGAGAGGAAAGTGTGCTGCCTCTTCTGACCCAGGAGTCTAACTCCAAGTCCCGAAGAGGTATATTAAGAAGAGCTGTCTTTTCTGAAGACCAGAGGAAAGCTTTGGAGAAAATGTTTCAGAAGCAGAAGTATATTAGTAAAACAGACAGGAAGAAACTGGCCGTTAACCTGGGTCTAAAGGAGTCTCAGGTAAGAAATGATAGAACATCTGTGACTTTCTGTCTTTTTGAGGAAAAAATATTTAAAATGGCTTTGAAGGAAGAAAACTGAACTCCTTCACTGAGCAACGACCTCAGTAAATCGATGGCAGTTTTAACCAAGGAATGTTAGCAACAGTTTTCTGGTTTATTTCCTGAAGATGCATATTCAGAAGTCGATCGCTCCATTTTCAGACAGTGGGAGAAACATGACCTCTGCATTCATTTCCAACTCCCATTTTGCTGTCTGACAGAGCCCCCTGTCAGGGGTAGGGAAATATGCTCCAATCCACTGCTTGATAGGCAGTGATCCAGGCAGAAAACAGCAGGGCATAGAGCCCTCTTGCATTCCTCTGAGCACCCACTGCACTTGCTGATGAACAGCTAGTGACAGTGCAAATCAACAGCACTTGCATTGAGACCATTCTGCCCCAAGAGAACCTATCCCTACAGAAAGAAACTTGGCTACGCAAGGACAGAGATCCTCGGAGCTGAGAGGGTTGATTCTGAAGGTGCTGCAATAGATGCAGGTCTCTAGTGCACAGCTGAAAAAGAAAGACCGACAACATAATTCTATTTCTTTGCATGCAGCAGGAGTGAAACTGCTTTAAGATATGTATGGCAGAAGCTGTCTGGGGGGTGCAGAAAATCTTTGGAATGGCGATGGGAGTTCTCATCATCTTGGAGATTTTCAGAACTTGACAAGGCCCTCAACATTTTGATCCAACTTTGCAGTTGGCTTCACTTTGTGCACGAGGTTAGACCTTGTGGTCTGGAGTGGTTCCTTACAACCTGAACGACTCCGACTCCGTCACAAGCGCTGTAAACAGAAGCAGAGTGTGACGCTTCTCAGTATGATGAACAGAGCAGTAATCTCTGCAGGATAAACTGTTTCAATGAAAATGCACAATTGCACTCACCAGTGCACTGCCTAAAAATATCCCAACATGTAAGTCAAATTCTTAATATTACAATTATTCCCTTGAGTTTTATATCTGTGTTCTTGATATTCAAGAGAGGTTGGGGAGGGAGGTGGAAATAGAATGACACATAGGTAACAACTACCACTAGAGGAAAATTATTTAATGATAATGATAGACCAGGTGACATCTATGTCTTCTTTCTTTTTTTTTTTTTCCCCTCATGAAAAGAAGAGCAGTTGCTGTGAAGTTTATTTCTTTACTTTTCTGAGTAACAGTGCCTGCCATCTAAGGCAATGATACTACCTTTGAATTCATAGCCCCTTTGTCTTCATATCAAGTATCTGAATACTAGAACTAAATGCAAGTACTTAAGGGAAAACAGAACACAATCAGAATAATTTGATTGATCCCCTCCACCATTTCTTCTCCTCACATAAAACTAGTTCCTAGATGTGTATTTCCCCAAGCTTTTCCCAGCATTTCATGAATGCCTTTGAATACTTGTGGTCAAGCTTTGCAACTCAAAGTTTCTGAAAACTGATTTTATCTCTAAAGCACATGGATTACAGGAAACTGCTGGAGAACTGTAGTCAGGCAGACAAAATGTCTTCAAATCCTGTGTGCGTTATAACGCACATTTTGAAGCTATGTGGCCAATATGTTGTTAGCTATGCTTACGAATGGGACATGGTTCTTATAGAGGGCTTCACATTGCTGGTAACATCACTTAGTTTTGTTAATGACAATGCTAACTTACTCTGAGAATCCTTTTCTGTCTGGAAGGATGTTGCTATAGGAAATAGCTTTATCCCTAGCCACTGGGATTTTTCCAGTCTAAGCCAGATAATCACCTATTTGAGGTGGTGAAAGTGAAGAAGAGTATTTCAAAGAATCAGAGAATGGTTGGATTGGGAGGGACCTTAAAGATCATTTAGTACCAACCCCACTGCCTTGGGCAGAGACACCTTCCGTTAGACCAAAACCCCATCCAAACTGGCATTGAATACATCCAGGGATGGGTATCCACAACTTCTTTGGGCAGCATGTTCCAGTAAACAGTGATGGGAAAATCCTCAGATAATGATCAGTCAGCTTCACTGGATGTACTTAACATGAATAAGGAAGGAGCATGAAACTAAGGGGATGGAAAAAAAAATAAAATCTTGTTAGGACAATCTTGTTTAAAGAAAAGAATGATAATAAACTCTCATTAACTTGCAAACAGGTGAAAATTTGGTTTCAGAATCGAAGGATGAAATGGCGAAACTCCAAAGAAAAAGAAGTGCTTTCAAACAGGTGCCTCCAAGAAGAAGGTCTTCAGGAGAACTACCTCTCACGATCCACCATGAATTTTACCTCCCCATGCCCATCTGTGTGGGAAGTGTCCCAGGAGCAGGCAAGTCCAAGGTGGAGGGAGACTTCTCCAGGAAATTCTGAAAGACTGATGAGTACACAACCACCTCCAAGAGCAAATTCATCGCAGAGCCCACTGTACTTGTATCCTGACCAAGACACTGCAAATAAGGCAGTTACATCATCAGCCTAAGGAAATAGGGGTGGTTTGTAAATTGAGTGGAGAGCACAGGCTTCAAATGAGCAGTCTTCTAAGACTAACAGTATTTGGACATTGTAAAGCTAACTAGTTTATGCCTCACAAATTTGCTAAAGTCTAACACCATTAAAATGACAAACAACTAATGATTTAAGACATATTCTTCGGTATTCAGTCTTTTTTTGTATCTTTTCCAGTCTTGTACTGACCTTAAAAGTGAAATAGGAACTGATGGTAAGTAAAATGAAGTGAAGAGCATGAAGCTGAAGTGGTGCTCTGATTTATACATCTGTGCTGTATATGATATTCATTAAAAACACACTGATAAGAGAATCACTTTTATCTCTCATTGCGGTCAGACTAATTAATTCTTTTTGTGCATGAGATAAGAATAACCCTATTTTCCTCAAGAACTTTGGGTTCTCTTTGAAATTCATTAAGTGACACAATAGGTTCATATTAGACGTAAGCATTTTTAGTATGTTTTTCTGTCTGTCCTCACCTGTATCAGTATTCAATTAGTTTTAAATAGTATGGCCACAGGTCAGCTGATAACGCTGATGAAGTATACAATACTAAAAGACAACCAAGGAACCTTATAAGAATTTGTAAGAATGCATAAATCACTTCGATGCGAATGCGTACTGGGAAAAGCAATTCAGTGAGTCTTGTCTTTTCTCCTGTGGGTGAGGCTTCCAACATGCTGAACTCTCAATTTCAGTGGCTTTTGTCAGACCGTCAGTGAAATCTCTTGTAACCAATTCTGTATTTTGAAACTGTAATGGCAGTATGCAGAATTGCAGCCAAAATGCACTAAGCAACAGAACTACAACTGGAAAAACTGCCACTACAGCCATCTCAGAAAAGTACTTAGCATACTGTAGTAGCCTTGTTCCTGACTTCTTCCTATTTAAACTGGTGCCAATAAGTACTCATTAGCATATGTCTGTATCAAAGTCAGGGCAGTATTCTGTGTAATACAAGTAGCCTCAAATAATATTATTAAAACTGCTTTACTTAAAATGATTTGCTTGCTTCATCCACTTTAAGGAAATCACTACATGAATTAAGTATCATTTTTAGTTTATTTGCAAGGCTTTATAGCTCAAATTGGGAGCAGAACATTTATTTTTCTTTATCATACATTTACTAATCCATTTGTTGAGAAAAAGAATTTCATGTTAGAGGCAAAACCTTTTGGAGAACACTATAGTTTTACAGGGACAGTTTAGTTTCTGTCAGATTCTTATATTTTATAGTCAAACAGATGATTATGGTAATCTGGGCTGGCTTTCCTCATCATGCATACCATGAGTGTTTCTAATTATTCTTGCCTTCAACTCCAGAGCTTTTGGAACTGTATTGTATGTCTTTCAAAAAGCCATACAATTGTTACCTAATGTTTTACCTTTTGGTGGACAATCTACTATTCCCCTTCTTAAGTTGTATTATCTAGAAAGTGACATTTAGATACATTTGCAGCTAAAAACCTTGAGATTGCAATGATGATGCTTGTATCATAAACTTTATGCATTATCTGGTGAGTTTTGTATGCTACCTTGTGCATGTCCTGCCTCCTAAATCATCAGCTGTGCAGTCCTACTCTTGCACTACATGTCATTCTTTGTGTGCGATTTCCTACACTTGCTTTTAAGAAATTACAGGAAAATTAAGAAGTCATCTCTTCCTTCAGTTACAAACTCGCATGAGTGTAAGCTGCCTAGATATCTACCTGCAGAAGGCACTTGAAGACACTTAGTGTGCCAGGTTTTATATGCTATTCAGTAGTGTGAATATTCTGCCTAAAACCTTTAGCGACGTACAGACAGATTGCATACTCATGGGTATGAATCATAGAAGCACAGAATGGTTTGGGTCAAAGGGACCTTAAAGATCATATAGTTCCAACCCCCCTGTCACAGGCAGGGATACCTTCCACTAGACCAGGTAGCTCAAAGCTCTATCCAACCTGGCCTTGAACACTACCAGGGATGGGGCAGCCACAACTTCTCAGGGCAACCTGAATTTACTGTCTGATTGTCCTGTTGAAGTCCTAGTCCTGCCTTGTTTGACTAGGTCCTACCTGGAGGACCAGCAAGTTCTGGCAGCCCGGATTCTTCTGAAATGGCATTTACTAGTGTCTGCCTACAATAAAAGGCAGGGAAGCATTTCCAGATTACCATCAAATCATCAAGTGGGGGGGTATTCATCAGTGCTTCCCATTTTGGAGGAAATCATTTTATGGTGGGGGTTATTGGGGTTTTCCCATTTTACCTTTCAGGGAAAGGGAGTCTTCACAGCTGCTCTTACTCATTTACTGCAAGTTAGTCAAGCATCAGTATTAGAAGCAGCACTTCTGGAGAGGGGAGATAGGATTTAGAGTGCTCCTTGAGAAATTCTTCCAGTTGATGGTGTTGCAAGCACCAAAAGAGAACTGCTGTCAAAACTGAGCTGACGTGCTAAGCAGAATACATCTGAAGGATGTCTTACTGAGGCAAAGATCAAGAAAGGCTCATGCAGAATTAGTTTCATAGTTGTATGTGTTTTAAATTGAGCATGTTCTGGTTTCACTGTAGTCCATTAAAAGTTACACCATTTCATGACCCTCCAAATCTCTTTACACCTTCTACCAGTATTCTTACTCCACAGCTAGAATAAAGTTCCAGTATGCCAGATAAAACATTCTTTAATTGAAAATGCTGATCAAGCTTTCTTAAAAACCCTAAAAGTATAGATGTGAATTTTGAACTATACCTGAAATGATTAAATTAGAAAGGATTTAGGCCCATGACACATGCAACCTTGATTCCTCTGATTTTAAGCTATTGAAAGGAGAAATTTCCCTTCAGTCCATACAGTGAAAACTTGGTAAAAGAGAAACAGCACTCAGTATGAATACAAAATTATATTTACAGTGCCAGTCTTTTCTGTGTGAAGAATCAAGTAGTATTTGTTTCTTTCAAATAATGTATGCACACTAGTTATTAAAGAACAAAGAAAGCATAAATTATATGCAGAATCCCCAGCAGATGTTTGACGTGTTTCGTAACAGGCCCATTGCAGAGGTGTAAGTGTAGAATGCATCTGGTATTATGGAGTGATGTGATGATAGGTACCTCAGTTAAAATTAGCAACGTATTACTTTAACTTTTAAGATACAACCTAGAGGGTGACTTTGCAGCATGGTTGTAGGGTATCTGATGTATTTCCTATGTGTGGCATTTTGAGACTATAGTTCCAGCCTGCAGAGTGTTATGAAGGACATTTGTTGGGATCCTGGTGCTGGGAAGAGTTCAGGTACCTCAAATTGCGAACTGCAGTCAAAAAACCCAACTCTTCAGAGGCCACAAACAAAGCAGATATTTATATTCGCTGGGCACCTCTGTTTAGCCTGGCAACTTATCAATGCTAATGTAATACAGAATACAACAGGGAAAGGGAGAGAGGGCTGAGACTCAGTGCTTGCTTTGTTACCTGAGCTGCAGACTCCAGTGCCCTCAGGCTGTGCTGCTGATACAGGGATCTTGCTGCCCAACCAAGCAGCCTCTGGAGCAGGAGGGACTTTTCTCACCCCACCTATTTGAGATCCTCCAAAAAGGTCTGAATGTGGAGCTTGTAAATCTATTCTTAAGGTCAGGCATTCAAAAGAGCTTCCCTGATACGGAACAAGAAGGTGCCAATTTCCTTTTCTAGGTCTGGCTCTTGGTCTTTTAAAAGGTAGCACAAATGATGCAGATCATGCCAGTCTGCATCAGGCATGGCAACAGTCATGTTTTACTGTGTGTAAGCAGCTGTGAGACTGAACACAAGAGGCCAGCTAGCTCCTCTGGGGATCTCATATAACACTGCTAAAAGCTTGACTTGCTGACCACACCTGTGTCAGCGCCTACACTTTGGTTGTACGGATCTATAGTATGAAATAATTTTCTACAAGTTATCCTGATTCTTTGCCAAACAAAAATTAGTTATTATGATCTGCTGAGGACCACAGGACAGCTTTAAGGGACAAAGCTGCATTACTAACTTCAGTATCAGAATAACGGTATGGGGGTCAAATGTCACTAATACATCAGATTTGTTTCATCTGCTATGATTTACTAGTACTGGGTTTTAAATACCAGTTGCCATCACTGTAGCGACACATCTTCTCTGACGAATATCTGTTCCACAGTCAAAAGACTGACATAAATTAAGTGCCTTCATGCACTTCAGCACCCTCTACCAACAAGACCATTACTGATTACCATGGGGAGACCAAAAAGTCCCTGCAGAGAAAGGCTCACAGTGGATGGAATTGCCATTGAGCATAGAAGTCCTTAATAACAGTGCTTCTAATTTATGTGCCTGACAGCTGCTGCTGTGTGAGATAAACTGAGGGATGTAAACCTGGATCTGAGTTGCTTCCCATGTGGACTTGCACCTAAATTGATGGCCATAAAACATCATCTCCCACCCCTTGGTTTCCTATGGATGCTGGTTGTCATTCTAAGCAATGAAGCTGGGCAGGGTGGATGTGGATGTCACAAAGCAACATCTCAACAGTGGTCCTCCAAACACACAGAAATCTCACCTTTTATAAACATCCAATCCTTGAGGAATTTCTAAGTTTTTCCAAGTAAGTTTTCCTTTGCATGTCAACATTTGAATGCAATACGGCGTACCTGAACGTTCATGCATACTGTTCAAAGGAGACTGTTTCCATTTGTTCCTGCTTTGCTATCATATGGGTTTAGATCAGAGTTATAACTACAAGTGACATCTGGCACTTAATCTATCACAAAAACATCAGCACGTATAAGATTCAATCTAAATTCAATGTACGTTACCATTTAGCACATTATGAAAGGAACAAACTGAATTTTCAATCACTGAGAGTGTCTCTGTCATACCCTTCTTCCTCGTTCTGAAAAAATGGAAAAGTTATGACAAGAAAACCTCCAACGTGCAAACCCAACTTCCAGTAACTGAAAAAATGAATTGGACCGTACAAAACTGTCAATATTCTGGGGATATGCTGTGGTGTTTCATGGACCAAGGTCTGAAGAAAAATGGAGATATTTTTAATTCATAAATGTGTTTGGAAAACAAGGACAGTTAATGGAAACAGGTTGTTTCACAACCAGCAATTACACCATGACCTACC